TTGTTGGAGTGGGCCCCTTTCCCTCCTCGGGATTCCGGTTTTGTTCCCCGGGCGGGTCCCCCCGGGTTCCCCTTTGCCTTTCCCCTTCCGGGGCCCGGGGAAGGGGGGTTTGCCCTTGGGGGGGGTTTTTTTTTTCCTTACGCCCTTCGGGGGGTTGTACTTTTTTTTTGCCGGGGGGTTTTGGGCCTCGGGGAAAAAAAAAAGGACTTTTTGGGGGTGGGGGTTAAAAATTTTTTGGGGGGGGTTTTAAAATTAAAAGGGGGGGGGGGGGGGGGGGGGGGGGGGGAAAAAATCCCCCCCGGGGTTTTTTTTTAAGGGGGGTTCCCCCCCGGGTTTGGGGCCAAAATTTTGGGCAAAATCCGACCCTGGAAAAAAAGGGGGGGGTTAAAAAAAACGGCCCAACTTTTTGGGGGGGAAGGGTGGGCCTTTTTGGCGTTCCCCTGTTCGGGATGGGTTAAAAAAAAATTTTTTTATTCCCTTTTTTTGGGGGTTGTTTCCCGGGGGGGGGTGGGGGAGATAACCCAAGTGCTTTTTTCCCCCCCCCCCCCCCCCCCCAGCCTTCCGTTCGTAGTGGCCCCCGTATTCCCCTTCGCCAACTAGCGCGTCTTCAACCGTGCGTGTCATCGCCGCAAAAACACTGATCATCATGGCCGGCGCACCTCTTGCCCTCCTGGTGCATGAGGCAGTAGAACTCCTTCCCTCTGTCGGCCTTCTCGAAGTCCCACCCGGCGTGCTGCACGAACGGCCAAAAAAATATATATAAATAAATGAGCACGGCGCACAAAAATCGGAGTAAAACAAACATGTTAATACTGCTTGAAACCGCCATCCAAGGGTACGCGAAGGCTGACCTCCCACAACGGTAACGGCAGAGAAGAAAATCAAACACACTTGCCTGCGCCTGCTACTGCTTCTGTCGGAAATCCGGAGAACAATACCCTAATCGCACCTACGCCTGGGACCAAACATACAGCACCGCCGGGGCTGACTGGTCGGAAGGGGAGTTTTCACGGGCGGGCAGCGATCAGACGGGTGCTTGAGGCACAGCAGGTATGGGGGTTGGAGACAAAGACAACGGCACCCATGTTCACTTGTTTGTCCATCTTGGATCTTTTCCGCCTTTGCTCGCCCAGGTTAACGCCCAATCCCCCCACCCGCCTCGCCCCTCTTGTTCGTTCGAGCTAAAAACGTTCCTCCGCCTCAACATGGTTTCTTGCCGATGGGCAAAACTCCTCCATAAAAATCTCCGAGGCAAAATATATCACCCCCCTCCCCGACTAACAAAAACAAAACAAAAATCTCAACAACGACAGAACTATCAAAACCAGGGCGAAACACACACACAACACTCACCGATCTCGCGCACGGCACGTGGTACACAGTCCTGCACCGGCCGTTGAAGCACCCCACGGTGGCCCCCTTCTTGCCGCAGGCGAAGCACTTGAGCGAGGCGCCCCGCCTGATGGCCTTGGCCACGTTCTCGAGCTCTCCGTCAACCTCCTCCACCTCGGGGCTTTTTTTTTTTAATCGTATCGGGGGTACGCACACGTGTAAAAGGTGCTGTTCGTTGCCATGCTGCGAACTTGGTCATGGACACAAACACACACACACACACATGCTGCCCCCTCACGGGGCCCCGGTTCATGGCAGATACAAGTGCTTTGTGTTTTCAAATCGTACTAAGACTGACGTCTTTTCATTGGTCAGCCGGTTAGCGCGGTCGATGCTAATAATAATAATAAAAAACACACACACATACACACGGGTGCGTTTCTTCTTACGAGGTGCTCATCGTTGCCATGGTGCTACCTTGGAAACGGATGCACACACACATGTTCTTATTATCTAAAATGTGTATTTGTTGCCATGGTGTTCGTTACATGTATCCTTGCATCGTCACTACTTCGATTCGACACCAGTTTCCGTGGTTTGTGTTGAGGCGTGTTTCTGTTCCATGTCGGCACCTGGGCGAAAGACTATTTACAGCACTGCGGGCGGTCGCGGCGAGCGTTTGACATCGACTGACTACCGTAGGCGACACAAGATAACACACCCCCCATGACCGTTCAAAGCTCCACTGATCCATGACGAAGACGATGTACGAACCAAACGATACGTTTTCGGAAACCTCTCGACGAGACCGTGTCGCCGTTTTCGGAACGGCCCAGTCTTTTTCTGCCTAGGAGAAATCGAGCTTCGAAAGTTGGTCGGTCCAGGGCGTGTGACATCTCATGTCACCTACGGTATCTTGGCGGCGAGGCGGGGCGGGGTAAGGGTGCCAGCAGCGCAAAAAACGGATGCAGCACCACCAACGGTAACTAGGAGCGGCAGCCCGCAGCAAGGCAGAGCCGACAAGAGCGACAGCACGCAAAGACAGGCTCAGCAGAGAGGGCAAGCAGCGAACATCAACAAGAGAAGACCATAATGCCGGTACACGCGTTTTCCGATATTCGCCGCATACATATTCCTTGGCAAACATGTTAGCGCTGTCGACGCCTATGCCCAAATACACACCCACACCCACGTCGGTAAAACCCTATCAGTAGAAACCGTGTTCATGTTTCATTCATATCCCGCGATAGACCGACGTATTTTAATTTGGTCAGCCGGCTGGCGGGGCCGATGCCAGTTAAAAAAATTTGTTGCTGGGTGTGCGTGCTCTTTAGATTTTCTGATGGCTCTAGCATTTTTGTGACCACGCACCGAGTCTTATAGATAGCTAGACTTTGGGATTAGCAACTGACATACGAGTGTAATGTCAAGACAACAACAACAACAACAACAACAACAACAACAACAACAACAACAACAACAACAACATGCACACGCACGTACACACCTGTATTCCGCGCACTTCCTGTGCACCCACAGCTGGCGCGGCTGCCCCCTCACGATCACCCCCCGGAAAGGTCCGATGATGCGGCCTTCCTTAGCCACGAAGGGGTCCGACTTTCCCCTCTGAACGAAAATACAACAAAAAACACGATCACACAACGGGTGAGCGTGGTGAGTACACGTATAGCTACATAGATAACCGGATAGAGGGTTTTAAGACGTGCAGGCGGTCGGACTTTCCCCTCTGAACAAAAACACAAAAACAAACGAAACATAAATAATCACACAAATGAGTGAGTGTCGTGAATGCACGTAGATAACCGAATAGAGGTTAGGAGGTGCAGTTGGTCGGACTTTCCCCTCTGAACAAAAATACAAAAAAAAACGATCACGCAACGAGGGCGTGTGGTGAATACACGAACAGCTACATAGACAACCGGATTGAACCTTCAGCTTAAGACGTGCCGTCGCTGCGGGGTCACCACGGCCGGGAGGGGGGGGGGGGGAGGGGGGGGGCAGGGGGAGGGGGTCGGGATATAGACGCAGGGCGGTGAGGTAAGCACGGGAGTGGAAACACCTCAGTCTAGTATTGTCAGGCGAAAGCACCTCGCCTGCCGCAGCGGTGGTCGGTCACTACGTGTGGCGGGACTTTAGCGCTTCTCCCAAATCGTAGCACAACTTTCCATCTCGTCATTTATGATAAAAAACACCTCACGTACAAAGATAAATAAAAACGCCGAGGCCGTAACCGTGGTGGCGGTCGCTCCGAACAAAGCACCACACCGATCGACCGACTCAACGCACGACACGGACACACCTTACCCATCTTTGATTAAAAAAAAAAAAATGTTTATGTTTTGTTATCCCTCTGCAAGACCGACGTATCTGCATTCACATTGGTCAGCCGGTGAGCGCGGTCGATGCCAAGTAAGACGACACACACGGGGGTCCCAGTTAATGGCGTTCAGGCAAGTGTTTTTGTGTTGTCAACCGCACTGAGATTGACGTCTTTTCATTGGTCAGCCGGCTAGCGCGGTCGATGGCCATAACAAAAACACACGCGTGCGTGCGCGCGTGTTCTCCCGTGAGGGTTAGGGTCCCATGGATACAGGTTAGGTTTGTCCGTACCCTGCACATGTGGCAAAAGGTCCCGTCCTCCTTAGGTTCCTCCGTCGCCCCTCCGTTCTCCTCCGTCTCCGCCGCCGCCGCCTCCCCCTCCTCGTCGCCGCCGTCGTCCTCCTCCTCCTCCACCTCGTCCTTCCGCTCGGCCGTCGATGAGGCGACGGCGGCGGCAGCCGCGCGGCGGCGCGTCGTAGGGGGCGTGGCGACCGGCAAAGAGGATGATGCCTCCCCGTCGACAGCGGCGGCGGCGGCGGCGGCGGCGGCGGTGGCTCCGACAGGACGTGGGCTGTCCACCGCA